GTCGCTATGAGTCGGTTCCGACTCGATGGCACCTGACAACAACATCAACAATGTGTGCCCTGTATTAAAGCCCCAAAATTTGTTCCTATTTTTCCATAATAACCTTTATAAGTCTGGGATTTACATTTAGGTCTTTAATCCATGTTGTTGTTTTTTGTATATGGTATGAGATAAAGATTTTGTTTCATTCTTTTGCATATCGATTTCCAGTTTTGCCAGCACCATCTGTTAAAGAGACTATCTCCTCCCCATTCAATATACTTTGTCCCTTTCTCAAAATTCAGTTAGCTGTAGATGGATTAACTTCTGGATTCTTAATTCTGTTGCATTGATCTGTCATTGTACCACTACCAGGCTGTTTTGATCACTGTAGCCATGTAGTAAGTTTTGAGATCAGAGAGTGAGAGGCCTCCAACTTTCTTCTTCTTAAGCAGTGCTTTGCTTATCTTAGGACTTTTTCCTTTCCATATAAAGTTTGTAATTGTTTTTCCATCTTTTAAAAGAATGTTGTTGGAATCTGGATTGGGATTGTGTTATATCTATAGGTTGCATTGGATAGTATTGACATTTTCACAATGTTAAGTCTTCCTATCTATAAGCATGATACATTCTTCCATTTTTGTAAATCTCTTTTGGCTTCTTGTAGTAGATTGTAGTTTTCTTTGTATAGGTCTTTTTTTTTTGTGCCACAAAGAAGTGTAATTTTTATTTAAATATTTTCTTGCAGGTTAGTTTTACTTCAGCCTTTTAAGGGCTCAATTCTTTACATGGGCTTTGGTGGTGGTTGTGGGGCAACACCTGCAGGTCTAAATCGGGGTGGGGGTGTTTGGCCCTTCAGAGCTTCACGAGAACGGTTCCTGAACACCTTGTTGTGAATGGCGCAGTTCACACTATAATGCAGTTTCACGTACAGCTTGAGAAGTATGTATGCATCGAAGACACTTGCTTCGGAAATATCCCTGACGGCAGCAGCCGCTACTATGTTTCAAATTATGAACTTCTTAATGGCCTTGTCCTTGGGTACACAGCGGGCGCTGCTCGTGCAGCAAATAGGCTGTAAAAGTGGTCTCTGTATTATTTCTTACACCTGCATGTGAGTCTACAGTTATTGCAGTATAATTTAAAAACATTTTTAAGTAAAGGTTTACAAAGTAGCTCATTAGTTTTACTTTCAATAAATAAATACACTTTGCTTCATTTCAATGATCACAAATCACTCCATGTATCATCAGTTAACAATATTTACCACTTTAAAATTTTCATAAAATATTTTATACCAATTTTTTTGTTGCTGTTGAGACTTGTTGTTAAGTGCCTTTGAGTCGTTCCAACCCATAGTGACCCAGTATAGGGTTTCCGAGGAGTGGCTGATAAGCTTGAACCACTGACCTTGCGGTTTAAATGACTTTGAAGTTCAGTGCATTAACCCACAGTGTCACACCAGGACTCCTAGTGATATTGAATTAAAAATACAATTTGAGAATTTGAATGTAAGAGAATATTTCTAGGAAAAATTAACACTTGTGACTATAGAGTTTAATAAAGGACAATTTCAAGATTAGTTGGATTTGTTTTTTAAAAAATTACCTTGTTGAGCTATAGGAGTATCTAAAACAATTTTAAACATGGGTGTCTAATCAAGGAATATTAGTAATGTAGACAGTGGCATACTACTTTACATACTTTCCTAGAAACTTGGATTGTATTTATGTCTTCAAATAGTAAAGGTGTCTTCTTTTCAGAGTAAGGAGAGGTGAAATTTTCAGAGTGGCTAGTAACATAAATAATAAGTATCTAATGGGACTGTTGCATTTTTCATTCTTTTTATCTCATTTAGGATACCTGACATTAATGTGGAGCAAGGCCAGAATATACTGGAAATCTTACATAACTGTTTTGAAGAAAAAAGTAAGCCTTGTTTTGTATGTGGACTCTGAGGGTTGGTATGGATAAAAATTTAAATTTGTCATATAGATTCATAGTCAAATGCAGCAAATATGTTGTAGTATGTAAACACATGTAAAATATTCTCCCAGAGAGTTTAAGTATATATGCAATTCCTAATGTACCTTCATGGACCCTAAGGATAATATTGGTAAAAATGATTTTCTTTTTAGTTCACACTGAATTATTGTACTTTGGAAGTCCTTAAATAATTATAAATGAGAGACAATATGCCGTATAGTAGAAATAAATGTATAAAATTATGGGAATTAATGAGATTTTGAGATGTTCTTTGGTGATGTGCTTTTCTTTGTGAAATGGGAATTATAGACAAAATGTTAGTGTTAGTTTATAAGAATGTGAAAATAGGTCAATCAAAGAAATAAGGACTGATAAAAGAAGAGTGTTTCTTCTGTAAAATGTCTGAAAGAAGAGCACATATTTCTTTTAGAGCTTTTTTTTTAAACCTTCAAGGAACATTTGAATATCTTAATATTGGTGCCTGTAATTCATTTTAAAAATGTGTCTAAATTATAATCAATAGACATTACACCATATTTCTTAAAATTTTATCCTTTTAGGTTCTGTCAATGATTTTAACACAGATTCTACAACATCGGAGTCTTCAACACCCAAAATAAAAGCTGCTTTTATTCAGTCACCAAGCAAGGTAAGTCAAAAGAGGGAGATTGGTAGGTTTATTATTTTATACAATACAGTGATGATTATGTGCTGACTCGATGGCACTTAACAGCAACAACAGTATGCCATGGAGTCAGTTCGGACTCATAGCAACCCTCTGCAGGGTTTCCGAGACTATAAGTCTTTATGAGAGCAGAAAGCCTCATCATTTTTCCATGAAGTGGCTGGTAGATTTGAACTGCTGACCTTGCAGTTACGTGTAACCCACTACACTACCAGAGCTCTTTTTTACATACAATATGGTGTTGTTGTTGTTAAATGCTGTTGAGTCGATTCCAACCCATAGTGACCCTGTGTAGCGTTTCTAAGGAGGAGCTGCTGGTGAACTTGAACCACCGACCTTGCACATCAAATGACTTTACATTCTGATGCATTAGCCCACAACGCCACACCAGGACCCCCATATACAATATTGTTGTTGTTGTTTAGTGCCGTTGAGTTGGTTCTGACCCATAGTGACTCTGTATAGGGTTTCTGAGGAGTGGCTGGTGAGCTTGAACTGCTGACCTTATAGTTCAAACGGCTTTGCAGACTGGCACAATAACCCACAACGCCACACCAGAATATAGTTAGGTTTAGTTATCTGTGCTATTTTAAAAGGAAATTTTGTACTTAAATTTACTTTAAATTTAGAAGTATTTTGTGAAAATATTGACTCAATATTTCCTGTGTTTGAAATTGGGAGTCTGGGAATTATAATTATCAATTTTTTACATTCTTAACTTTAATGTTTCATAAAAGAATAGTGTCTTAGGATGGGTCACCAAGAGTAGCAGAACCAGAGAGAGGGAGAATGGAAAAGGAGGGAGGGAAGAAGAGAGAATACTTAAACCATGTGAGAACCATGTCTGACTTCCTCTGACTCCACAAGGGGAAAAGAGAATCAAGCACAAAATCAGCCCAAGACCATCTTTGAAGCAGACATGCCTCGACCCTACAATGATCTTTACCCTATTTGACCACCAACCATTCCCCCCACAGCACTCTGCTTCACATCTGTGTTTAATAATCTATTGCAGTGGCCACTCAGAACTCATAACAATACTCATGATTATGGGATTTGTTAGGAAAGTGAACTGGGTACAATTCAGGATCATGGAAACAACAGTCAAAAATTCCAAGGACAGAGAACAACAAAGATGGTGGATCTGGTGGAAGTGCAGTGAGGAGCTCTGTGAGCAACAACACAGAATACTGGACCAAGCAGTTCAGAACTCTGAACCACATATAAAGGAATATTTAGAAGTTTGTGAGGCTTTGTTGTTGTTATGTGCCCTGGAGTCTTACAGCTATGGAATTTGTAGCAGAAGGAAGACATTCATTGCTTTCTAATTTAAGAAGCTCAGCTGCTCCCGGAGCTGCCATCTTGGGTGAGACCCAAGTGGGGAAAGGATCAGAGCATCCACAGATGCCTGACAAAACTGCAGAGATAAAGGTGTGGACATTCTTTTTTTTTTTTTTTTTTTTAGTATCTGTTCATTGGTCTCTCGTAGTCTGCACACATCCATTCTGATGACTAGAGGGGGTGTCTGAGAGATTGGACACCCCACCGCTATCCCCAGAGGGTTGTACTACACATGTTCACAGATCTTCTCGATATATAAAGTGACAGTTTCCACTTAAAACCAAACAGCAGTTCACAGCCTAAGCCAGCCCTGAACTGTTTATCATTAGGAAAAAGGTCTGACAGGGATTGTGGAGTGGGACAGGAATACTAAAAAGGAAATAGGCCGAAAATTAAATCCTGAGTTATATCACAACCGACCAGCAGTGGCATCTTGAAATTTCTCAGGAAGAAGAGAGAAAAGGGAAGCCCATATCCTGATCACATCTACCTGGAGGCAATCAGAAAGCATAAAAAATACCAAAATACACACCCATCTAAGTATTAAGGCCACAGATAACTCCTGAATATGCCTAAAAAACAGAAACAGATGATCATATCACCACATGTCCAGAAACAAGATAAAGTGACTGAGGCAAATGAGCTGGAAGTAGACCTACACTCCATGCTGGAAGATGGGCAGGCTTTAGAAATGCCTGAGAAGGAATTCAGAAAAATGATGATAAAATGTATCAAAATACTATACAGTGGAGTTGAGAAAAAGTAAGGAAGAAGTCAGGAACAATCAAATAAGATAGATACAGCATTGGAAACAACTCAAAACCTATAGAAAGAAGTCCAAATGATCAATAATAGAATATCAGAAATGGACAATACACTGAAAGGGCAAAGGAGTAGAACTGAAGAGATAGAAGTCAGAACTAGTGAGTTAGAAGAGAAATCTCTCAACACTACTGAGATAGAAGAACAAACACCAAAAAGGATATAAAGATCTGAAGAAGGTCTAACATTCATGTTGGACAACATGAAGAGGAATAACTTAAGAATTATTGGCATTCCGGAACAGGAAGAATCACACAGTCCACAGAGGAGATAGTTGAAGAGCTTCTGGAAGAAATTTTTCTTAACATTCTGAAAATGAAAAGATAAGCATTCAAGAAGCTGAATGAACCCCCAGGAAGGATAGACCCTAAAAGACAATCACCAAGACATATAATAATCAAGCTCTCCAGTTGACTTGGAGATGAAAAAGTGAAGAGGAAGGGCTGGTTGGTCCAGAGTGTGGTGAGACCTGGTTACTCCTGAGCCCATGGACAAGGACATAGCCATGGAGGGCTAGAGCTGAGAGTGAAGCATCCAGCTGATATGAAGTGAGGGGAGATGCACAAGAACACCCAAATTGGTGGACAGTACCAGTTTGACCTAGCATTGATGGCTTGATAATCAGAACTTGACTAGAGGAAGATTAAAAAAAAAATTTTTTTTTGATAAAGGATAAAGGAAAGGGTAAATTGTTACAATGTGATAAACCTGACCTATATTCTCGGAGGTAGTAACTCTAAATATCAACAGAGAGGGAAGGAATCTTTGCATCAACTATCAATGCTATCTCCTCTGTACACAGGCAGCTTAGACATTGGCTACCTCAAATGAAGGGGCGAAAAGGCACGAAGTGATTGGCTTACAAGGTTTCAAGAGGGAGTTTAAGAGTATGGGGGAAGAAGAAAGAGTTCGTACTGAGTAGTTTTCATCTTGTCTAGATGGGTCTGGTGAAAAGAGATGGGGATAAGATTCATAAGATTCAATAGTGAATGATTGTTACCATGACTAATTGCGACTGTCACAATTGTAAAGGTAGAAGTTTTGTAACAGAAACAGAGGATCTTAGGACCATCAAGGGAGAAGTGCACGAGCAGAATGCAGGACCTTATCCTGAGAAGTAGTGATACCAGAGACGGAGGCATAGATGGAGTCATGGAGAAGGGGAGTGGTTGAGGACTCCAGATTCATGGAAAGAGAGGGATTAAGAGGTGGTGGCCAGGAGGCTTGCAGAACGTGTCCTTCTGAGGTGTAAATTATTATTTACGCCTGAGTGATTTTTTTCTTTTTTAGTTAAAAAAAAAAAGCTAAAGTGAATATAGAGAAATGCTCCTAGCTGATGGTACATGGAGATGATAATCATTGTAATGAAACAAGGTGTATGATTTGTTGAATGTAAAACTGATGATTTGCCCTGTAAACTTTCACTCAATCCACAA